TTAGGAAGAACAACCTTCAGAACATGACCAAAGAGCCTGAAAAACCCACAACAACCAGAATGACTACACTTATCTGAGACAATAACCTGTTTCCTATGAAAGCTCCTGTCACAATAAGCCAGTTATTCTTTGAGATGCCATGACATCTTATACGTCTTTATATGAAAAAAATGAACCAATTCTTCACACTCTGGCATATATTTAAATTTACTTCAACTCCCAGTGAACACTATGTGCCTGTGTTTTCAATTAAATGAAGAAATTAATAAATATCTCTGTCATACAGTGTCTGTGTCTATACTAATGTCTTGCAGTCTGAGCAAAATTTCAGAGTTGTTGTTTGCATTCAGATCACAGGTTCTCACCTGAAGAAGCATTCTGTAGTTTTTTCATTCTCTGTGGCTAGAATCCTACTGGTGCTTCTGTAAGTTATGCATAACTTGAAATTATGCAATTAAAGAAGCTTAATTAACAAGGTACTAAGGTGAGTCTAAATTGCATACCCAATCATGCACCCAATTTAGCAATTGAGATGTGTCCTGGCACCTCATCAATTAGCCATGCAAAATTTATATGAACACCAATACGCTGGCACCTCATCAATTAGCCAAAACAAGTCATGCAAAACTTATACGAACACCAATACAATTCGAGTCTCTTTGATCTATTCTATTCCATATTCTCTAGCTGTTTCATTCTCTATTCCAGTGCCTAAAATAACATGTGGAATGAATAGTATTTCAACAGTCCATTTTACTGTAACCATGTGAAACTGTAACACCCTTTTCTCCCTCCACAAAGCTCCCTCCTAAGGATGAGACGTTACATTCAGCCAATGCACAACAGGTGAGAAGTGCTGAATTCCAATTCTGTTTTCTGGATTCTCTCTCTCTCTCTCTCTCTCTCACACACACACACACACACACACACATACTGTTCTTACACTAGTCTTACTGACCTATGTATATACATGCATTACTCCCCTTCCCATAAGAGTAAACGCCATGGAAGAGATATCAGGGAGAATGTAACTGACATGTCCAGTCTATACCAAGAGTTGCCACCCTCTTCGAGAACAAAGAATGGACCATCAAGACTGTGTAACAAAGATCAACAATATAACAAAGTTCTGCCCCCTACTCCTTAATTTCTTGCTAAGATTGATGAAATTATATTTTTTATTTTATTTTATTTTTTATTTTATTTCTGTATTCAACTACTAAAAATTCAAACAAACTGCAAGGTAGGCTTCAGTAACAAGAACTGACGACATGACAGATAAAGACACTGACGTGACACAGACTTGGCTGAAATGCTTATGAAGAGCTGCCCAGGATTCTCACAACTTTCCACTGAGATTTTAGCACATGTGAATATTCTCTTTTATTATTGCCTGAAGGCAAGATGTTAGACTTCCTAGAAACCTGCTAGTGAGATAACTCTGGCTTCCATACAGATTTATGCCTGCTGCAAAAGGGATCGCTAACATGTTTGTGCAGCTTGGCACCTAGTACTACTACTATGAGAGAAGGTGGGGTGTTATTACAAGGATTTAGAACTGTTTCGTACATTCATTACGTTTGCCTCACTGCAGTGTTTGGATCAGTTTGCCAGGTCACCAATATAGCCTATGTCTAGAAAAAAAGCCACTATTAAATGTTGAAAGCCTAGCAGAGTTTCTTATTGGATTTTAATTTAGGCCGTTCACAGAGAAGAACAAAATGGGCACATAGAAATGGGTTGAAAACACACCTGCACATGTCCCCCAGTTCTTGCCTTTCCACAGAAATCTGTGAAATCATACCAGTTTCATTCATTTTATATTCACTGCAGCCTGCTCATCTCCCAGCCCAAACACTTTGTTCACTTGGTCATTTACTCAACTTTTTGTACTTGAGATAAGGATTATGCCAGGCAATATCCTTAGGACCTGTGACATTCATATCCTGCTGTTTCTTTAGGAAGCTGTAAGTTCCACATCTGTATCCCATCAGGGTATTTATTAGGTTAAGACATTCTTGTCTTTAATAAAAGTGACTGTGCTGTGTACTCTCAGAGCATGATATGAACTTCCTCCATTTAAAGCAGTAAAGCAGAACTTTTTTTGGCCCTGAGGATCCAATTTGACACTGGCCGGGGGATCAAGAGCCACGCACATGCACCCATGCACACACAAACACCTGCACATGCACACCAAGTCTATGGAGAAACACATATTTGAGTGTACAGGGCTAGGGGTGGGATTTAACTGCCCTCTCTACTTGCTGAGATCTAGGGGGCACTTAGGAGACATTGTTTGTTTAAAGTGGGGAAACAGTTATTTCAGAAGTTAGGGAGGAGCACTGTTCTATGAAGTCCAGTTCATTACGTAGGCATGAGGGTCCATGGGTCTCGCCACCATTGGAGGCCAAACATGGAGCAGACGAGGGAAACATGCAAGTTTCCAGACCGAGTACCTCTGACTTTAAACTTGTGTTACTGTAGATTTCAGCCCTTTGCATTTAAAGTAAAGGGCTGAATTATGTCAAAATCCCTAAGGAACGCTGACATGCTCATGACTGCAGCCTGAACGTACCATCAGTATATCAGGCTTACACTTTCACATGTATGGATTTGCAATTTTCCTCAGCTACACACTGCCTATGGCATTTTAAAACAACATATCAAATGCTGATAAAATCATTTATTGCCATGGTGCACAGGAGAGCAACATATTACATCATTAAAGCTAAAAAGCATCCACACTTAGGCTGACAACACTTTTTTCTTACACCCAATTAAATCAAACATAAAATTAACATAAGCAAGAATTAATTTCATCATATTTTCCTTTTCCATAGACAAGTGTCACATAAAGCATTTCACAATTTGTTTTTGCTCTCTTGTTGCTACAGAAACCATTCTATCAGAGGTACTGATGGAACACATGTTATAAATTATAACTTCCTTAGCAAACTGTATGCCAAAATGGGAGTAGGTAACCTACTTCTAACATATGGCTGCTATAAATCATTTTCTTTGTCTCTGAAAACTATTCAGATTCAATAATGAACTATGACATGGAGAACGACAAAATGTCTACAATAATGAAATTATGGCAATTTTAAAAACAGTTATTTCTTATTCTTGCACCTAAATTCTATGAGTGCTGATTTGACTATATATGTTCCATGAATTGCAGATGGGCCACTCACACTCTTTGATGAACTGACTTTGTTGGGTAGTTCTACCAAAGTAAGTATGGGTGGGCAGTTAATGAACCCATCTCATGGAAAAACCGAAAGCTTTGGTGGAGGATCATGACCATGAATCCTTTAGAGCCCTGAATATCTAAATCCCACTTAGTCTCCAGCAGCAGCAATGTCAGTACCAACCACAGCCCAAGGATGAAAGATGTTATCCAGGTTTTTGTATGAAAAGCTGCAACCATGACAGTAGCTATTGCAGTTGGCTATAATACTGATATGTGGAAGGCAATGGAAAACCATCTCATTTCATCTTCTATTGTACTAGACAGAAGAAGGCCCTCAGTACCTGGTAGGCTATAGCTGGCCAGATGATGTTAAAAAAATCTCTGGGTTGAATGCTTGATTAGGAACCTGTAACATACAACGTCTGTATGGTGGCAGGAAAAATCCACAATACACTAAAATAAATGAAAAGGATGAACATCCAGATCCTTGGAGTAAAATAAAATTGATTGGCTAGGAGCCACCTAAGTAGAGGGATACTGCTCATAGTATGCTTTATTCAGCAGTAATGATGTACATTATTATGTAACTGCAATTACAGTAACAAAATACGTATGTTCAGCTGTTATAAACTTCATTCATACTCAGTTCAGGCACCGTTTATCCAACTGAAAATAAATCCCTTATAAAGTCAAAGAAGTAACCAATGAACATGTTCTAATAGGAATGTTACAAAAACCGAGTTCATGGTAATCATTAAAAAGCAAGCAACTCAAAAAAATGCAGCTAACAATTAAAAATTATAGTGAGGAGCATGTTTGCAAAAATAAGTACTGTACCTTGAAATTTAGTTGAAATAACAGCAGTATCATAGTTATGAAAGAAAAGTCAGAATAGACTTCTTTCCTCTGTTTTACGGCCCAGAGAAGCTTCATTAAAATGAAGTTGGTAACATGCAAGAAATGTTATCATTAGCTTTCAAAATGCAGAATGTATTTTGGTTCCACTGAATGGCATGTAACTGTGGATTTACAGATAACTATTTAAAAATAAAAAAAATATTTGAAATGTGGATTTTTCACAAAATTGCTTGGACTGATAGGATGAGTATTGATAAAATATTAATATGAATATATAAATAAAAAGAAATCATAAAATGTAGAAAGTTATACTACTTGAGTCATGTAATAAGAGACCAAATTATACATTTGTATGCCTGTTCATGTTAAAATAAATGGAAAAAGAAGTGCAGAAAAAAGAAAACCTTATTGGCTGGAGAACCTGGTAAACGTCCAACAGGAAAACAACAAATAGAGGAGGATGAAGGTAGGCATCCCTTCATGGATTGCTGCATTGTCATGGTGAAGGGGCTTGAGTAATTCAGTGAAGCTATGGGCTATGCCGTGCAGGGCCACCCAAGATGGACAGGATATAGTGAAGAGTTCCGACTAAACAAATTCCACCTGGAGTAGGAATTGGCAATGCCACTCCAGTATCCTTGCCAAGAACGCCCCATGATCAGAAACAAAAGGCTAAAAGATATGAGCATGGAAG